GGGGGAATTATGTTGTTACATGACTTTATGACAGAATGTCCGATTATAAGATGAAATGCGAGGATAAGATGAGGAAGAATGTCTGTCAAGCTTATCAAGTTTATATGTTGCATCACAATTTTTTAACTGTTGCTTTACAAAACTTCTTTTGCCTTTCAAGGCAGCTCCTTGTCATTTTGGAAAATGACACTCTGACTAAAAAGCGGTAAGACAGTATGGTAGACAAACTGACTTTAAAGTGAGCATGGTTAAACCCCTTTATATCGTATACTCTTAGAGTAAATAAGGACCCATCATAAGGAAGAAAAACATGTTCTGATGACACCATCAGGATATAAGAGAAAATAACATCCATTGCGTTGCTTGTATTTGTAAACTGTGATAGATCCGTCATTTAGTCGTTCATATGCCTTAATATCGCTATCTCCCTCAACATTTGGATATCACGACTACTTTACATCGCCACCTTAAACCGAATGCGGATGCAAGTCGGTATCGGCTTTTGATCTTACATGCTAAAAGATAAGCTGATTTGCTCAATTTTTCCCATAATTTAAATTTTTAATATGTCAATCTGACTCCGCTACCATTCTTCCCAAACTCTCTGAAAACAAAAAGTACATTTCGTAACGACATACTGAACGCTCAATTTTCGGGATAACGCTTAATTACTTGGGTAGGCGCAAGTGAATTACAAAACATTAGTTTATCGTTGAGCCGATGATCCGTTAATGAACAGAGCTGAACATCATTCACAAGAACGGGAGAGTAGGCGGAAGTTGTGCATCAGTGCAGTCTAGCATATGAATGACGCATTATATGGCATTGGATATAGTAGTGGTATAAATTATTCAGTCTCGAAGGTTATTCGATTGCTTCGCAACCATACTTGATGAAGCTGAGATGAAAATCAGCGTGACGAAACCAGCCCAGTTGTGCTCTCGAGAAAAGTTAATCATTTTGACTCTACATGTAAAATGAGTGCAACTAGAATACGTACAGTACTTTGAGGATCTGAGGACAATATTAACCAATTAAGGCAAGCAAAACGTGGAGGCAGACAACCGAATCGTCCGGGGAGGAGCTGTAGCACCGGAGCCAAGCCGGTCTGTCGTCATGCAGGTGAAATTGAGCTGTATTGTGAAGCTGCATCTGCCTTTCTGTACATATACATGCCATTACCTTTGACCATGAGTGTCGACTATCTCCTGAAAGTATGCAGTCCCCTACACAAGCGACAGGAATGAGGTTCTTGCGAAGAATTGTTGGTGTGATGGGACTCAGCAAATTTCGAGGCATGTTCAACTGTGAGCCGCTCCTTCTCCAGATCTAAAGACCACAATTTCGATAATTTTCAGTATATGATGAGGATGCCACTAGATAAACTTGCAATTGGCACTCTTATGACAAAGTCACATGGAAAATGGCCCTAAGAGAGACTGTAGACTATATGGTTCGATTACATACCGTACAAGGCCTAGCGTTGTTGCGCCGTAGAACCAAGATTATTGACCTTGTCTGCTCAGCAGCAGATCAGAACCACTGAATAGGTTTTATAAAGTAGCTGCCCGCAGCCCATAAGGAGCAAGTGCAATAAAAAATGAAATAATTAATTATCTGATTCATTTCCATTTTTGTTTTCGGTCAATTTTCGTTAGCCTTTCTGATGCTAGGTCCTATTCAAATTTTTTTGCCAGTTTGCTCAATGCAACTGTGCTTTCCGAAGGCAAAGCATTAAATCTGCAAATTGCTATGCAATGTTATGTACATTTTCTAGTTTCTACACACCATTAGGTTTCTCCTTTAAGTCATCATACTCGACACCTCCAGAATTTTATTGAGGACAGAGTCGGAAGCGTCATGTCACATTTATTCATGTGCTCATAAGCTTCTGCACTTACGTTCTGCCACGCTAAACGAAAAGAAGCGCAATCGATCATTTTCTGATCCCTTGGGTTATTCATGTTAAGCTTTGAATAATGCAATATTGCCGGATAAGCGAGTTTTAGCCCACATGAAATGTTCAGTTCTTTTGCTTTTGAAAGAAGAGGTTTGTCAGAGTTTGTCTCTATGTGAGTCCCACTCTGTCGCTATAGGCAGGTATTTTTTGTATATTCGACTAACTGTATGTCTGTCAAATTAAATTTTCCAGATAACGTAGGCATAACGATTTTTTGCAGTCTTAATAACAACACATAAAGCATGTCCAAAATTTTACTTTCATTGCTTAAAATTATGGCGAAACAAAAGTTTCGAAGATTCATAATTCCAAGTTTGTATTAGATGCAATTTGAACTAAATATGACAGTATTTCCTATTCTAAGCCCGTTGTTGAAATTATGGATTTTTTGCTGATTCATCTTAGATGGCATTAACATTCTTCCTAGTTCCTAGTTAGATGTGCCTCAGTTCCCTAAGATCCTGTGAGACTCTTAATGACCTGGTCACGATCGAGTTACTTTAAGGTTCGATAACGGCAGTACTCTCCAAGGCAGATGGCTAGGTTGTATGTGAGTTTTCGCCACGGTTCCCAACCCTTCTCCTTTCTTATTGAGACTTTTGAGAGGCAAAGGTGAAGTTTCTAATGAACGTCTGAGTTTAAAAATTGTTCTGATAGTGAGGTATTTGTTAAGTGCTGTTTTGAATGTACTATTCCTGATATCTTAATAATGTTCAAGTTTTGCAGGCTTCCGTAATAAAAATCATGAAATCAAATAATAGGAATTTAACGTCTGATAATAATCTAATGAGTAACCGTATGTATTTGGGATCATTCACTTTTTCTAGACGTTTTATGTGTTTAACACGTAGCAAAAATGAACCATTTTCTGCGAAACCGGTCTCTGTCCTAACAGTTATGGCGCCATTGCAATTCCTCTTTCCTTCTCGTTTGAAGGTCACCTGATGCGTAACAGTTTATTTTCGCGCTTTCCCGAGCATTCCTTCTCGAAAGCCATAGGATGCTTGCCTGGAGTGTCGTATTGCTTTAGAAGTGTTATTGGCGTGGAGAATGTGGTTGCAGTGGTGAAAGAGCTGAACCCCTCCATATATGATTGCATAACTCACTCCTATTGAGTCACCAGAAAGACGCCTGGATTAGAAAAAGACTGAAAACGACCCTGAAACAGACCCAGGTCATGTACGGCAAATACGTGACCAGGTGACCAGTTAAAGTCCATGGACTTAGGCTTGACGAAAGCACGCTTATTTGGGACGGTTCATCGATGCAACGAAAAAAGACCGTGTGAAATCAGCAGAAGAACAAAAATGACACGTAGCTCTGTTGCATGTTTGAAAATGATCCTACCCGGGAAGTGGTCCTTGTGCTCGAATCAGAAGGTTTTTGATCAGTGTGCTGTCAGTGCTATCCGAGTGCGAAACGTGAAAAGATATTCACTGTGCAACACAGCATGGAAAAGTGTGCTGGAAATGACGAAAGAAATTGGCAGGCGAATAAATTTGTAAGAGCACAAGCAAGAGTCTGTGATACCACTGCCCGAGTGAAAAAGTTGAAGTGGAAATGTGTAGGAAACATTGCAAGAAGAACCGACAGTGTTCTCCAGGTCGATGGCAGGATGAGTTGAAGAAAACAGTTGGAGGAAAATGGAGAAACGGGAAGAGAGAAGAGAGGTTAATGGCAAAGTTTCGGAGAGCCCTTAACCAAGCAGCAGATGTGAAAAAGTTCCAGCTTTTTACAACGTGAAAGCATCGATCTATGGACTAACTTATCGTAACCTAATAATTAGCTCCCATTATTTTTTTGATGACCGAACGTCAGGAAAAAAGAAGCCGACACAGTCGAATGGTACGTCTGGAACCTACAGTT